CTGATTGCTACATTTCCAGCTCCAACACTGACTTTTTTGTTTGCTTGCTTGTTTTGTTTTGTTTGAGCCTGAGTGCACACGTCACAAGCTGTTTCTCTTTAGGGAAGGTGTCCACCTCTGGTCTGAAAAACTATGTTAAGGGCATAGTTATTCTGAGCAGATGATCTGTCATCCCAAACTTTCTGGTGCAGTTGAGAACAGGACAGAAGTTGATTGAGGTAGGGGGTGAGTGGAGTGTATGGGGGTCAGGAGGGTTGACAGTTGAGGAAGGACTACATAGAGATATGAATAGAGTTACCCAAACACACAAAGAGCAAAGTCTGATATTAGAAATCCAGAAAGAAATCAATGACCTGTAGACAGTGTTGTAACCAACTGGGTCGAAAACCGAAGGCAGGTACAGTTGCAGTCACAGGCAGTGGTAGATTCCAGGGCTGAGACAGACTGGGACAAGAGAAGTGCACATTTTAGAAATGTCAGGGGCAACTATGCAGACACGTGCTCACACAGAGTTCTGGGTAGTGTTTAGTCACATAAAAAAGGACTTGGGAGAACAAAAAAGGATACTTGGGAGCAACTGTAGTTATCCAAACTTGATCTTATTGTGACTGATTCCCCAGAACAACTCTTTTAATTAAGAATTGAACTGCCCTTCTTTTTCTTTTCTTAATAATTATATTTTATTACATGAATATTTTTGTTTTTTTTATTTTATTTGAATAGTTTCTCCCTTTGTAACACGTGATATGTGTTAATTATAATTTAATATGTATTAGAATTTATAGATAAATGAAAAGAAAAATATAAATTTCATCTATAATCCAGCCAACCAAGGTTAACCTTCCAGACTTTTTTTATATCTTTATATTCATATGCATATTCCTATGGACATATGTATATATTTTAAAACCAAAATTATTTAACTTTTTAAGGGGGAAAAGTCTTTTTTTAAATATATATCTTATTGATTTTTTACAGAGAAGAAGGGAGAGGGACAGAGAGAAACATTGATGAGAGAGAAACATTGATCAGCTGCCTCCTGTACAGTCCCCACTGGGGATGTGCCCACAACCAAGGTACATGCCCTTGACAGAATTGAACCTGGGACCTTTCAGTCCGCAGGTTGAAGCTCTATCCACTGAGTCAAACCAGTTTCGGCGGAAAAGTCTTATAATACTACTTTTAAAAAGTAGACTAATTAAGCAAATCAGAAATAAATTCAAGTCTATTCAATAAGTTAATATATAAAAAAATTGGTGAAATAAGAATGAGTAAATAAGCCTCTATTAAATGAGAAACCACTGAAAATAAATGTCAAATAAGTTTATTGTCTATAAGGGACTGATAAAAATATAAAAGATCTCTATTCTTTTATGGAGAGATAAATAGCTAAAATATAAATAATAAAAAATACAAAGATTAAAGAAACACTTTGAAAAGTTCTCTGTCTCACTAATAATTAAGGAAACTGAATTTAAACAATGATGATTTAACAATTCACTCTACCATCTAAAGTAGGGGTGTCGAACTCAATCAGAGAAGGGGCCAAAATCTAAAATCCAGCCTAAATCGTGGGCCGAATGGTTTACTGAACAGTCATAAACTGTCATTGTGATGGAAACGCAGCGGAGTGCAGTGATGACAGCGCAGTGCGGGCCACATTGCAAGGCCTGGCGGGATGGATTTGGCCCGCGGGCCTTGTGTTTGACACATGTGACTAAAGTAAAAGTGAGAAAAGTCCAATGTAAGCATAATAATGGGTAAGTATGTATTTGAACATTACTTGTAGTACTAAAAATTAGGAAAACCTTTTTTAAAAGCAGCATGGGACTATATCTGTTAATCCCACAAGCAATCAAAAAAAGAGAAAAAATTTTAAACTATTTTTTTATATCTGCACTACTTATTAGTGACTAGATAATTCAAATGCCCCAAATAAAGGGGATAAGTCATTATTTTAAAACATTGATATATTATTATGGTAAAATATTGAGTTGATAATAATAAATTTATGAACAATGCATATTAATGGAAAGAAAAAAACAAAAATTAAAATAGTATCAAAACTTCTTGATATGACTACGTAAATATTGTTTCTATACAACAATAAATATTTTAAAAGCAAGCAAGCAGAATTTTGTAAATTCTGTATATCCTATATAATAAAAGGCTAATATGCAAATCAACTGAACGGTGGAATGACTGGTTGCTTTGATGTGCACTGATCACTATAGGGCAGACACTTAATGCAGGAGCTGCCCCCTGGTGGTCAGTGTGCTCCCACAGGGGGAGCACTGCTCAGCCAGAAGCTGGGCTCACGGCAGGCAAGCACAGCAACTCCCACCTCCATAGCAGCGCTATGGATGTCCAACTGCCAGCTTAGGTGGGGAGTGGGCCTAAGCCATCAGTCAGACATCCCCTCAGGACTCCCAGACTGTGATAGGGGGCAGGCTGGGCTGAGGGACCCCTCTTCCAGTGCATAAATTTCATGCACTGGGCTTCTAATCTTATGATAAAGGAATTATTTGTGCTTTTTGTTGATCTGTTTTTAAAAGTTTTGCTTGTTTCAATTCTTAGTTTGGTTACATACATATAAAATCATAGTATATGCAGTTTTCAATAAAATTTTCCTGATAATCAACTATGAAATTTGGCAGGTGACATATCTCACAATCCTATATCCTCCTCCAGTTCATCCCCATTCCAGGACCTTAGGAATAGGTGAAATTTAGAACAGAAATTTTAGTTTGTAGTGTATTTTGTGGTATGCTGCCCACCTAGATCTCTCCTTCAGGACTGAAACACTCATTCTCCCACTGGCTATGGAAGTTGGCTGACAGCTCTTAGATAAGTGTCTCTCCAAGAATTGCCTTCTCTCAATTGAAGAAAGTGCCTTGTCTAAGATCATGCCACTCTCCTTGGGGACAGCCACTTCTTACTGGCCAATAATAGGGGATAAGGGATCCAGACTCCCTTGCCTCAAAGAAGAGCTCCTCTGAAGGGTCATCTGAGCCCAGAACTGTCTTTGGAAGCCTTTGTTACAACTACATCAGTTTACTCCTCCTTCTGTCCAACCTGCCACCAAGTGAGACTAACACTAAGCCCCAAATATCCCACCATTCTTCCAGGAGACCAACCAGTCATTTGATAGCAAGTTACATTGGATGGGGCAGTGATTAATTTTGACTGGAATAAATATGTATCTTGGATGTGAAGTTTGCCTTTCCTGCCCTCCGGGCCTCAACCAGCACCACTATCTAAGGGCATATGGAGTATTTGATCTGCCAATATGGAATCCTATGTAATATTTTTATTGAACCCAGGAATCCATTTCATAATGAAGCTGGTGTAACAGTGGCACATGAGCATGGGATCCACTCTTCCTATTTCATACCACACTCACAGAAACTGCCAGCTTGACAGGTGATGAAGCTCAGTTGCATCTTTTGAAGGTGCAATTGAGCTTCCCCTTTGGAGGTGATACTGTTCAATAACATCTTCCAAGTTGCAGAATACACCATAAGTTAACAACTATTATATGAACCTATGTTCTCAAAAGGCATAATACATGGTTCTGGAATGCAACGGAAGGAAGGAAGTAGGAGTGACCCTGAGCCCTGCTTACCATCACTCACAGTGACCCACTTGTGGTATTTATGCTTCTTGTCCCAGCAACTCTGGACTCTGTGGGTGTGGAAGTGCTGGTAATTGGGTATTTCTTTGCCCAATTTTGACAGTAAATGGAGCAGCCACAGCCTGAGAAGGGCATGGTATCAGAGGCCCACCAGATAAGCCATTTAGACAATAGAACCATGGGTGCGGGAAACAGAAATAGGCTGAAAAACAGTGAGACAATGAATACCAATTGCAACCCTCAAACTAGGAGCAGTAGCAGGGAACTGTAGTTTGTCTCACTGTTTCCCCAGGGAAAGAGACCAACCAAGACCTGAGAAGAGCTGTTCCTAGAACGTATTATATAAAGTGACTGGATCCAGTGCAAAGGGCAGGCTGTAATAGATGCCATGGTGTGCTGCTCAGATTCTCCATTCTGGATTGAGGCAATCATTCCCTCCGCTGCTAGAAATGTTGGCAGCTGATAGCTCTCAGGCGAGTCTCTCTGTTGATATTGTCCCCAGCTGAAGAGAGTTGCCTTGCCAGAGCTGAGAGGCAGCCTACATCTACGACTAGTCCTTGCCCATCCCTCTCTGCTCTCAGTCCTCTTTCCTCACAGAATTGGCTGACAGACCTTTGCTCTGACGCCATTGCAGTTCAATTCCTCTTTCTATTTGATCCTACTTCCCTCACTCCTGTTCTGGTGTTGAATCCCTGGGCACTCCCCAGTAAACTTCCTGCATGCAAATATCCATCTCAGTGTTGGTTTCTGTGGGACTATGCAACAGTTACATTAGGTTGTATTTTGTGGGTGTGGTGTTTTTTTGTTGTTGTTGTTGTTTTCCATACAGAAAATACTGTCTAGCACACAAGGCTTTGTGTGACTATTATGTAGAGACTAAGAATTCCAGGGTCATCTATGTCTGGAAAACTCATTGGCCTCACCAGTAGCATTGATACTGTTTCTTTTCCTTTGGAGACTTCATTTTTTTGGGACACCACTGAATGTGCTGATTCCAGAAGCAGTCAGGAGGCCCTTCAGTTCTGCTTCTGTCTGATGATCATTTCCTTTCTTCTTCAGCTCTCTAGTTGCCAGGCCCTGAGCTTTTCTTTTTTTTTTTTTTTTTTTTTTTAATATATTTTATTGATTTTTTTACAGAGAGAAAGAGAGCGGGATAGAGAGTTAGAAACATCGATGAGAGAGAATCATCAATCAGCTGCCTCTTGCACACCCACTCCTGAGGATGTGTCCACAACCAAGGTACATGCCTTTGACCCGAATCGAACCTGGGACCTTTCAGTCCACAGACCAATGCTCTATCCACTGAGCCAAACCGGTTTCAGCAGGCCCTGAGCTTTTCTATCCCTTCCTTCCAGAAAGCACTGGTCCTACCAGCTGTCACTTTCCTTCCTCCACCCAGAGTCAAATAAGTTCCAGATGCTGAGAGAGTTGTGGGAATCTCTTCAGTGTCACCGGGAGGAGGGGAACTTAAATTCCTCTGGCTAGCAGTCACCATCTTGTTTCTCTGTTTCTTTCCTTTGCCCCCATTGCTTTTCTTTCACCATCAGAGAGTGAAGTCACTTCCTGACTCCACTGGGTCTTCAAGTTCCTCTGCCCGCTAGGATTTCAAGACCTTTTTATGGTAAATCTCTATATTACACTTTAAATTTTAATGTTGTTGTTGTTGTTGTTGTTTTACACTAAAATTTCTGGATGACAAAGCTATAAATGGGAATTAAAATCCTTTCCTTCCTCCTTTCCTGTCTGTCTGCCTGCCTTTCTTCCTTCCTTCTTTTCTTCAGTAAATTTCTTGTGTACCAACTCTGAGTCATCTCTTACATGAAGCTAAGCTATACCTACCGTTATTTAAGGTTATTAAATGTGATATTAGGGACACAACCATTCCTTTTTGAAATCTCCCTAGGGGCCAAAGTTGGCAGCAGATTGCTGGTCTGGCTGAGTCTTGCAGCACATCCCACTGGAACAACAACCCAGAGCTCATGCCCTTGGATGGAGAGCATATTAACAGCATTCTCTTTGTGTAAAAAGGCCTCCAAGTTTTGTAAAGGCCCACTATATTTAGTGTAGTAAAGTGAAATGTCCCTAACCAGTAGATTTCTATCGACCAGCCAGTCTTCAAAAGCCAACTGGACAGGGCGGCTGGAAACCACAACCCATCCCCCTCCCTAGTGCCCTTTAAGACATCGGGCCCTCTTGTGCATTTCTAAATCAAGACCTACATAAAATTGGACCTACTCCATCCTCACATTGTTGTTGACCTTAGTCCTGAAGCCTGGAAACACATCTCAACCTTTCTATAACCTCCAGGTAGCCTTGCTGTTCCCTCAGGGCATAGCTTGGGGTCAGCAGAGGAAACTATTCCTCTTCAGCACATTTTCTCAAAGTATAGTAATGTCACATGGAGAAATATGTAGAGAAGGACGACAAAGACAGAGACTTTAATATGATTACTCTTCCAGTTGTAGAAGCCTTTATTGGTTTTTACTCATCATTTTTTATCTGACTGTAGGCACCATTTCACTGACTTTGACTTCAAACTCTTGTTTTGCTCCTTAATCAGGATTTAGGCTTGCTCATATTGGGACAAATCAAAGAAGACTGAAAGAAGGAAGATAAATCGTACCCCAGAACGCTGGAAAATTCTGAAATTAGAGGTACCCAACGCCCCCTGAAGAAGGGAGTAAGAGGTAAGGATGAAAAGAAAAGATTGTTTGAAAGTCTTTTTAATGACTAGTTAGATCCCAAGATCTTTTTTTTTTTTTAATTGAAAAGCGCTCTTGCTTATTAAACTGCTGATAGACTGGGAAGCGCTTCTTTCTTTCTTCTTTTTATTTATTTATTATTTATTTATTAAAAATATATTTTATTGATTTTTTACAGAGAGGAAGAGAGAGGGATAGAGAGTTAGAAACATCAATGAGAGAGAATCATTGATCAGCTGCCTCTTGCACACCCCCTACTGGGGATACGCCTGCAACCAAGGTACATGCCCTTTACCGGAATCGAACCTGGGACCTTTCAGTCCAGAGGCTGACACTCTATCCACTGAGCCAAACTGGTTTCAGCAGATCCCAAGATCTTATTCCCAACGTAGCACAGCCATGTGACTACCCTTCCACCACTCTAGACGTGGCCAGGAAGTTTATTCTCTTGAGAAGCTGGGTCAAAGGATCTGGGCTTGGTGCATTAGGAAGAGCTGAAGATGAGGAGGGAGGGGGTTATATGGAAGGCTCCATAAGGAATGATTAGCTACCCTCACCCCCAGCCTCTAGCCCCTTTCCTTTAAAAACCTGCCAGAAGGCTAGAAGTCAGATTTGTAAATGCCCACACAAAAGAGTTTATCTGATTGACTGACCAACTGAAGAGAAAAAATTTTCTTTTTTTTTATTGATTTTTTACAGAGAGGAAGAGAGAGGGATAGAGAGTTAGAAACATCAATGAGAGAGAATCATCGATCAGCTGCCTCCTGCACACCCCCTACCGGGGATGTGCCCACAACCAAGGTACATTCCCTTGACCGGAATCGAACTCGGGACCTTTCAGTCCCCAAGCCAACGCTCTATCCATTGAGCCAAACGGGTCTCGGCGAGAAAAATTTTTCAAATAATGACATTTGGATGTCCCTATCCCCAAAAGAAATGTGGCATTACTGTGAAGCACAACAGTTAATAAGCTTTGGCCATTCATAGGGGATTTAAGTGCGTCACTCATTTTTTTTTTTTAATTGATTTCAGAGGAAAGACAGAAACATCAATGATGAGAGAGAATCATTGATTGGCTGCCTTATGTACACCCCACACTGGGGATTGATCCCACAACCTGGGCATGTGCCCTGATAGGGAATTGAACCATGACTTCCTGATTGATAGGTCGATGCTCAACCACTGAGCCACACTGGCCATGCAGGAAGAAAAAAAAAATAGTAAGAAAATAAGATTAGTTTGAGTGATCCAATGACTGAATCGGGAGAACTAAAAAGAGTAAGCAGAAAAAAAATGGAGGGGAGGGAATTACTAAAATAATAATGTATTGTATATGATAATTTCTCAAAACTGAAGGAAATGTGTGTTCATATTGAAATGTTTTCAGCTGAGGTTCATTCTGCACACTGGATGTAAAAGACCCTATTCTAAGGTGTGTCATCATGAAATTTCAGACCATTAGGGAGAAAAGAGGACCTCAAAACCTTCCAGGGAGGAAAAAACAAACAAACCAGCCTGGAGTCCCAGAGGAGGTATTAGTGTCAAACTTCTCAGTAGCAACACGGGAAGCTGGACGAAAAGAAGCAATGCCTTTACATTTCTGAGGGGAAATTACTTCTAACCTAGAATTCTATACCCTACCATCCAATTGCTGTTAAAAAATAAAGACATTTCACTCCTGCTAGGTCTCAAAAGTTTTTACCTTTCATGAGCTTTATCTCAGGATAAACTCCATTAAACCAAATGAGTAAATAAATCAAGAGGAAAATACAAAGTTTAGGAAGCTGAAGATCCAACAAAAGAGAGATGCAGAAAAATGCTCAGAATAATAAAAAGGGAAGTGTCAGGATGACAGATGGATCAGGGGCCTAGCAAGCAGTCCGTGCAGATGGGAACTGGACAATGAAAGGCTCAGGGTGGCATTAGAAGAAAGGTCTATGAGAAAACAAACAAAACAAATAGAGAGATTTATAATTCTGTCAGAGGACTTGGTTGAAATTAGTGATTGCTGTATCGAAACCGAAGTTTAAAAGAGACAATCATTAACCTAGGGGAAAACAAAATGATTATATACGATGCAAAGTGAACAGGAAGCAGCTCATCTAGGAACAATATTTCCTAGGCACAACAATGTAAACTCCAAAAACAGGTTTAACCAAAATTGTAATATCTTTAAAATGGAAGGATGGATACAGGTGAAGAGTATGTTGAGTGTGGTATTTAAAAAATGAAATATTTTCCTCATATAAGGAAATCAAGAGGTAATACCTAAACTAAAAACTAAAAACTAAAAGTCAAGGGGGAAAAACAATCAAAAAACCAGTATAAGCCCCAGAATAAACAGCTAAAAGATATGAGTCTAGTTGGCTTTGAAGAGAAGAAAGCAGAGAAGAGAGGAGGGGGCAAAGGGACTGCCATTTTGTTTTGTTGTTGAAGTTAAAAGCTTTCTATTTGACTTTTTATACAAAGTGCTTATATGCTTTTTCATTTTGAAAAAAGACTAAAGCAAAAAAAAAAAAGCGAGTTAGAGAGGAAATGAGGGAGAAGGGAAAATTAGGGTAGAAAAAAAATGAAGTCAGAAGTAATATTAGATGCGGTACACATCATTACTAAAGATAGGCTGACAATTTGGTTCTGAGCTTTTTAGCAGCCAGCACAAAGTGGAAAATGTAATCATTTATACAGTTTCACAATGTCCAAGAGATAAAAACAAACCACTTATTCAGGAGAAATATATCTATTCCTGGTACTGAGATTTGAGACATTTTTCCCATCTGTCCTCCTAAAGAGGACATCATGTGACATAGTCAACCATATCCTCATCAACTTGCCTACAGTAAATGCAATAATAAGTTTCATAGAGTTTTTTCTTATCACATCTCTCAATGTAGACTGAGGGCAAAATGCCAATGCAGAGTCCAGAAAAAAACAATTCTGTGAGGAGATAGAAATCTTTTCATTTCAGAGAGGCAATAAAACATAGTGGCTATGGTATGGGCTAGATCTCCAAATCTGTCTCTTACAGATACTTAATGACTCTGTACTCAGTGTTTTCATCTATAATATGGGCAAAATATTATCATCTCATTGGATTTTGTAAGTATTAAATGAGTTTATGCATGTGGAGTACTTATAAGAAGGCCTGGCAAATGTAAGCATTCAAAAAAAAAAAAAAAAAAAAAAAAAGATAGCTTACCTGGCTAGTGTGACTCAGTAGTTGAGCATCAACCTATGAATCAGGAGGTCATGGTTCAATACCTTGTCAGGGCACATGCCCAGATTGTGGGCTCAATCTTCAGTATGGAATGTGCAGGAGGCAGCTGATCAATGATTCTTTCTCATTTTTTTATGTTTTTATCTCTCTCTCTCTCTCCCTTCCTCTCTGAAATCCAATAAAAAATATTTTTTAACAAATATAGTAGAAAAAAATAATTAAATAAATAAATAAATAAATAAATATTGCTATTATTCAGAGAAATGCCTTTTTAAAATGGATTTTAAATGTTAAGACTACAATAAACAAAACAGTGTGGTAAGTGGTATTAGGATACATATATAGATTAATGGAATAGTAGATCTACATAAGTACAGCTGATTTTTAACAGAAGTGCAAAAACAATTCAATGGAAGACAGATATTCTTTTCAACATATGGTGCTAGAGCAATTGGATGTCTATAGGCAAAGAATTGAAATTCAACCTAAACCCCACACCTTCTATTAACTTAAAATGGATCATCGATTTAAATGTAAAATATCAAAAGATAAAGCTTTTAAATGAAAACAAAGGAGAAAATCTTTGGAACCTAGGGCTAGGTGAAGAGTTCTTAGATGTCATACTCAAAGCATAATCCATTCAAGAAAGAGTCACAAAATGGGCTTCATTAAACTTAAAAACTTTAAGTTTAAACAAAAGATCCTCCAAGGGGACAAAAAGATAAAACACAGACTGGAAGAAAGTGCTTGCAAACCAAAGAGTACTTTGGGAAGTACTACAAATCAAACATCTGCAGAGAACTAGTAAAAGAAAAATCGCTTAAAAATTTACAGTATGGAACATATAATCCAATTAGAAAATGGGCAAAAGACATTAAAATACATTTCTATAAAGATGATATACAGATGGCAAACAAAAATATGTTCAACATAGGTTAAAATTAAACACAGTGACAAAGCCAAATGCTGGCAGAGGAATTGGCTCTATTATATATTGCTTATGGTAACATAAAATGGTACAGCTACTCTGCAAAAATAGTTAGGCAATTTTTTAAAAAATTAAATATACACTAACCAGATGATCAGCAATCACACTCCTGGGTATTTATCCAGAGAAATAGAAATTTGTGTCAACATTTACAAGAATGTTTACTGTAGCTTTATTTGTAATTGCCTAAAATTGGAAACAACCCAAATACCCTTCAATGGGTGAGTAGTTAAGCTGTAGTATGTCATCTCAGGGAATACTACTGAGCAATAATAATAATAAAAAACACTACTTGGATAGATCTCAAAAAGATTACATATAGTATGCTAAGTGGGGGGGAAAAGACAATCTCAGAAGGTTGAATACTACCTAATTTCATTTATATACTATTCTCAAAATGATAAAATTATAGAGATGGAGGACAGATTAGTGGTTCTAGGGATTTGGGTTAGGGGAGAAGAGGAACTTAAGTGGGCATGAGAGATTTTTGTGGAAATAAAGCAGTTCAAAATCTTAATTGTGATTGTGGTTACATGAATCTCTACATGTGGTAAAATTGCATAGAATACACAAACATATACATGCACACGTGGTGAAATCTGAATCTGAATAAAGTCTGTTGATTGTATCAAGATGTTTCCACTGTGGGAAACTGGGTGAAGGATACATCAGACCTCCCTGTTCTATTTACAACTTCCTGTGCATCTATAGTTATTTCATAATAGAGTTTAAAAAATAGATGCTATGAAACATGCTGGATAAACCCTATAGAAAAATCTTATTAATTTGGTGATTAAAGTTACCTTTATTTAGCAAACTCAATTCTTTCTTTCTAGGTTGTATAAAATGATAATTTAAAGATTTGCAAGGTTGGTAGAATTCGTAGAAATTCATCAAAATATGGTGAAGGCAAGAGGGGTTGTGTATGTATAGAGGAGGTGTTTATGGCAGGTGTCCACTGTTTCAAGAAGGAAGTAACATATTTCCAAGAGTCCTTACAGAATGACACTTCTTGTCATGGACCAGTCTCTGGCCCTCAAATTTTCAGGTTCAAACACCTGATTTTCTTGCAGACTAAGCTTGATTCCCATTACCTGAGTTCATAACCTGATAAGCTATACTCAACAACTTCAGCCACACTCAGATGTGCAAGAAAAGTCATTTCTTTCTATTAACTTACTTTGAAAAATATAGAGATAATGAAATAAAACCAATGAAATAAAACCAGAAAAATATAGAGAGAATGAAATAAAACCAATACTTTAACAAATCATTCCAGACCCCATCCTAGTAGATGGAGGAAATGCAACCTAAGTAATTATTTGCAAAGACACTGTTGGCCCAGTTACTGCCAACATCCACTGTTGTAGTCCAAGTGACCACCAAGAATGGTCACTGGCTTTTGTGATGCATGGGACTCAAAAGTCTTCATGCTATGATCCAGCTCCCCTAAGCACTCCAAGCAGTCATTTCCTTCCTAAGCCTTGCACTTTCTCAGGCTCTGACATCTCCAGCTCCATCCTCAGAGAAACTTCTAAAGAAGCCTCTTACTTCTCTAAGACCCTTTCTCTCCCAGCTCTCTAGGACACCCAACGTCAACTTAGATTTTCTAGAAGGTGGGAAAAACCACTAACTTGAAATCACTTTTTATCCTTTACTTTTTGGGCTGCCAAAATCCCTGCGATAGGGAGTTTGAGGCCTCACTACCTTTAGAATGTAGAGAAGAGAAAAATATAGAGAGAATGAAATAGAACCAACACTTTAACAAATCATTCTGCCAAAATCACACCAATCCAGAAAAGTCACTTAATTAATTTGCAATAAGCAATGGATGTCACAACAGGTCACATCCATGCGGCTAGCCCATTCTCCCCTCATGTAAAGTAGGTGTTCAAGATCCTAATTAGACTGTTGTTTGGTGAACCTAGAGTCAGAACCAAGGACATTAGAATAATTCAACATTTAAAGATGTCAGGCTCTCGCTGAAACCGGTTAGGCTCAGTGGATAGAGCATCAGCCTGTGGACTGAAGGGTCCTGGGTTCGATTCCGGTCAAGGGCATGTGCCTTGGTTGAGAGCACATCCCAGGTGGGGGTGTTCAAGAGGTGGCTGATTGATGATTCTCTCTCATCGATGTTTCTAACTCTCTATCCCCCTCTCTTCCTCTCTGTAAAAAATCAATTAAAAATATTTTTTAAAAATAAATAAATTAAAAATAAAGATGTCAGGCTCTCATAGCCTGTTTCATGAACACCACAATAGGCACAGATATTCATGTCATACCAAAAGAGCTAGAAACACAGCAAGTTCATTGGTTATAATCCCCCAAACGTTCACTTTGAGAATGTCTTTGCCAATAGAGTTGCAATATTCAGAGGCATTTTACTGGGATTCTCTTGCCTAGAATACTTGGAGGAGTACTACCAATGTCTGTCCTAAAGATGGTCCTTTTTCTATGCTTCCACAACTGACCACCTCTTCCATCAAACAACAGGCCAATCCTGCTGGCCTAGGATTCATGTCCCTTCTGAATGATTCTGAATATAATAGATATGTTCCAATCAATTTCATAGGAACTTTAAATTTGACTTACAAAAGAGCCATACAATTTCGTTTTTGGGTTAGCCTTCCTGTATCTACTACATCCTGATAATGATATATACTAAAACAAACTCTATTAGGAGATCTTCGATGTGGGATTCTAAACACCAGGAGCATCCTAACAAAGAAATTATTTTAAATAATTTAAACATAATTATACATCTTAGCCCTGGCCCATGGATAGAGTGTCAGCCTGTGGACTCAAGAGTCCCAGGTTCAATTCTGGTCAAGGGCATGTACCTTGATTATGAGCACATCCCCAGTAGGGGATATGCAAGAGGCAGCTGATTGATGTTTCTCTCTCACTGATGTTTCTGGCTCTCTATCCCTCCCACATCCTCTCTGTAAAAAATCAATAAAATATATTTTAAAAAATTATTATACATTTTAGATATTATATCATTGTAACCATTGAAGAATAATCAATTGTTAAATGTAGCATGCATGATAACGGGTAAAATCTGCTGGATGCAAATGATCCAATTATAACGTCAGTGAAATCAGATGTTTAAGTATTGAGTGCACATTGTTAAGTATTGGGTGGTCTCACTATAAAAGTTCTTGGGGGTTTATGTTTTTGGATTATAGTATGTGTGCTGTGTTACCTAAACTTTAGGCACATCAATAATCTAGAATTCAGGCAAGTCCATGCCATTCCCTCCCACCCTTAGCAGAGAGATAATGAATGTTCTAATGAAAGCATTATACTTTGAACTTGCAAAGTGCTTAAAATCAATCTCTAAGGTAATTCCTAACCTATATATCTATGTGTACATTAATAACTATCTCATTTTCTGACAGGTGCAGTGACCACCGAGCAGCTGTGAGCCCCAGAACGCTGGTCCCAGGCAGCACGAACACTTGGACTCAAACGAGCACACCACCACACGGTGAAAAGGAGATAACTACATAACCAGACATCCTGAAAAGAGAGGTCATGGGGAGACAAAGAAACAGCCCGCACATGAAAGAAAAGCAAGCATCACCAGAAAAGGAAGTAAACGAGTTAGAGGCAAGCAACCTACCAGAGCAAGAATTCAGAGTAATGATCATAAGATGGCTAAAAAGAATGGAAGACAAATTTGACAATATGAGTAAGAACCAAGAGGAAATGAAGAAGAACCAAGAAGAAATGAAAAGTGACATTGCTACTGTAAAGAACTCAATAGAAAGCATCAAGAGTAGACTAGAAGAAGCAGAGGACCGCATCAGTGAGCTAGAAGACAAGATGGAAAAAAATACCCAATTAGAGCAGCTTCTGGAAAAAAAAATTAAAAAGCAGGAGGAGAGCCTAAGGGAACTTTGGGATAGTACAAAACAAAACAATATTAGAATAATAGGGGTTCCAGAAGGAAAGGAAACTGAGGAAGGCATAGAAAAAATGTTTGAAGAAATAATGACAGAAAACTTTCCTGAGATAGAGAAGAAAAAACCCACACAAATCCAAGAAGCTCGCAGAGTCCCAAGCAAAATGAATCCCATAATATCGACACCAAGGCATATTATAATTAAATTGGCAAACACCAATGACAAAGTAAGGATCTTAAAAGCAGCCAGAGAGAGACAGAAAGTTACATACAAAGGAACCCCCATCAGACTAGCAACTGATTTCTCAACAGAAACTCATCAGGCCAGAAGGGAATGGAATGAAATATACCAAGTCATGCAAAGGAAGGGTCTGAATCCAAGAATATTGTACCCAGCAAGGCTATCAATCAAAATTGAAGGTGAAATCAGGAGCTTCACAGGCAAAAACAAACTAAGGGAATTTATCACCACCAAACCAGCAATGCAAGAAATGCTAAAGGGTCTGCTGTAAAAATAAAGAAATAGGAAGTGAAGAAGGAACACAGGGGTATAGAATAAAAATGGCATCAAATAAGTACCTATCAATAATAACTTTAAATGTAAATAGGTTAAATGACCCAATCAAAAGACAGAGGGTAACAGATTGGATAAGAAAACAAGACCCATATATCTGCTGTCTACAAGAAACCCATTTCAGAAAAAAAGAAGCACACAGACTGAGGATGTAGGGATGGAAAAAGGTTTTCCAGGCAAATGGAAATGAAAAAAAAGCTGGTGTAGTAATACTTATAGCTGACAAATTAGATTTCAAAGTGAAGGACATAACAAGAGATAATGAAGGCCACTTCATAATGCTAAAGGGAGCAATCCAACAAGAAGAAATAACTTTGGTAAACATATATGCACCCAATACAGAAGCACCCAAATATATATAAAAGAAACTGCTCGAGGACACTAAGGGAGAGATTAATAGCAATACAATCATAGTAAGAGGTTTTAATACCCCACTATCACCTTTGGACAAATAATCTAAACAAAAAATCAGCAAAGAAACATCAATCCTAAATGATGCACTAGACCAGATGGAATTAATCGACATCTTCAGAACATTTCACCCCAAAGCCACAGAATATACATTCTTCTCAAGTGCACATGGGTCATACTCAAAGATAGACCACATGTTGGGACATAAGCAAAGTCTCTTCAAATTCAAGAAGATAGAAATAATATCAAGCATCTTCTCAGATCATAGTGGCATAAAACTGGAAATCAACTACAATAAAAATAATCCAAAGAAATCAAACACATGGAGACTAAACAGCATGCTATTAAACAAGGACTGGGTTACCAGAGAAATCAAGGAAGAAATTAAAAACATCCTGGCAACAAATGACAATGAAAACACAACAATCCAAAATCTATGGGACACAGCAAAAGCAGTTTTGAGAGGGAAGTTCATATCCCTATAGGCCTATTGAAAAAAAAAAAAAATGATAACAAATTATCTAACTCTACAACTCAAAGAGTTAGAAAAAGAGCAACAAGAAAAGCTCAGTGTAAGCAGAAGGAAGGAAATAATAAAAATAAGAGCAGAGATAAATGACATAGAAACCAAAGAAACAATACATAAGATTAACAAAACCAAGAGCTGATTCTTTGAAAGGATAAACAAGATTGATGAACCTCTAGCCAGGCTAACCAAGAAACAAAGAGAGAGGACCCAAATAAACAAAATCAGAAATGAAAGAAGTGAAATAACAACAGACCCCACAGAAATACAAAGGATTGTTACAAAATACTACGAACAACTCTATTCCAACAAACTGGACAATCTGGAGGAAATGGACATATTCCTAGAAAAATATAACCTTCCAAAACACAATCAGGAAGAATCTAAAAATCTCAATAGACCAGTGACTTGGGAAGAAATTGAAACAGTCATCAAAAAGCTTCCAGCAAACAAAAGCCTAGGACCAGATGGCTTCACAGGAGAGTTTTACCAAACATTCAAGGAAGAACTAAAACCTATCCTCCTCAGACTATTCCAAAAAATTCAAGAGGAAGGAACACTTCCAAACCCCTTCTATGAAGCCAGCATCACCCTAATGCTAAAACCAGATAAAGACAACACAATGAAAGAGAATTACACGCCAATATCCCTCATGAACATAGATGCCAAAATCCTTAACAAAATTCTAGCAAACCGGCTCCAGCAGCACATCAGAAAATCACACACCATGACCAAGTAGGATTTATTCTGGTAATGCAAGGATGGTACAATATTCGCAAATCAGTAAACATGATACATTACATAAACAAATTAAGAGATAAAAATCATACAGTCTTATCAATTGTTGCAGAAAAAGCATTTGATAAAATCCAATGCCCTTTCCTGATAAAAACTCTCAACAAGGTGGGAATAGAAGGATCATACTTCAACATAATAAAAGCTATATATGACAAACCCACAGCAAACATCATACTCAATGGGCAAAAACTAAAACCATTCCCTCTAAGAACAGGAAAGACAGGGTTGCCTACCCTCACCACTCCTGTTTGACATGATACTGGAAGTACTAGCCATTGCAATTAGACAGGAAGAAGAAATAAAAGGCATCCAAATTGGAAAAGAAGAAGTGAAATTGTCCTTATTTGCAGATGACATGATATTGTACATAAAAAAACCAAAAGACTCCATAAAAAAACTAATAGGTTTAATAAATGAATTTGGCAATGTAGCAGGATACAAAATTAACGCCAAGAAATCTATGGCATTTCTATACACCAATAGTGAACTTAGAGAAACAGAGACTAAAAAAGCAATCCCATTTACCATCGCACCAAAAAACTTAAGAAACTTAGGAATAAACTTAACTAAGGAGGTAAAAGACCTATACATAGAAAACTACACGACACTGAAAAAAGAGATAGAGGAAGATGTAAACAGATGGAAGAACATATCATGTGCATGGATTGGTAGAATCAACATTATCAAAATGTCCATACTTCCCAAAGCAATTTATAGATTCAATGTACTCCCCATTAAAATACCAATGGCATATTTCACAGACCTAGAAAGAACTCTCCAAAAATTCATCTGGAACAAAAAAAAAAGACCCTGAATAGCCACAGCAATCCTGAGAAAGAAGAATAAAGTAGAAGGTATCTCAATACCAGATTTCAAGCTCTATTACAAAGCCACTGTTCTCAAAACAGCCTCGTACTGGCATAAGAACAGACATATAGATCAGTGGAATAGAATAGAGAATCCAAATATCAATGCAAATCAATATGCTCAATTAATATTTGACAAAGGAGGCACGAACATACAATGGAGTCAAGACAGTCTCTTCAATAAATGGTGTTGGGGAAATTGGACAGATACATGCAAAAGAATGAAACTAGATCACCAACTTACACCATACACAAAAATAAACTCAAAATGGATATAGGACTTAAACATAAGACAGGAAACTATAAAAATACTAGAGGCATCCACAGGCAGCAAAATCTCAGATATATGCCGAAAGAACTTCTTCGCTGATACTGCTTCTAGGGCAATGGAAGCTAAAGAGAAATAAACAAATGGGAGTATATAAAAATAAAAAGCTTTTTTACAGCAAAAGAAACCATCACCAAAACAACAAGAAAGCCCACTGTATGGGAGAACATATTTACAAATGTTATCACTGATAAAGGTTTAATCTCCAACATCTACAGACAGCTTATACAACTTAATAAAAGGAAGATAAATGATCCAATTAAAAAATGGGCAATGGACCTAAATAGAATCTTTTCAAAAGAAGAAAGAAAGAAGACCAAAAGGCACATGAAAACATGCTCAAAGTCACGAATTATCAGAGAGATGCAAATCAAAACGACAATACGGTACCATCTCACACCTGTCAGAATAGCTATCATCAACAAATCAACAAACGACAAGTGCTGGTGAGGATGCGGAGAAAAAGGAACCCTCGTGCACTGCTGGTGGGAATGCATACTGGTGCAACCACTGTGTAGAATAGTATTGAGTTTCCTCAAAACACTGAAAATGGAACTCCCATTTGACCCAGTAATCCCACTCCTAGGAATATATCCTAAGAAACTAGAAACACCAATCAAAAAGGATATATGCACCCCTATGTTCATAGCAGCACAATCTACAATAGCTAGGATTTGGAAACAGCCTAGGTGCCTGTCAGCAGATGATTGGATCAAAAAACTTTGGTACATCTACACAATGGAATACTATGCTGCCATAAAAAGAAGGAATTCTTATCATTTGCAGTGTCCTGGATGAAACTGGAGAACATCATGCTGAGTGAAATAAGCCAATCAATGAAAGAGAAACACCACATAATCTCACTCATTTATGGATAATAAGGAACATTATAAACTGATGAACAAAAAGATAGATACAAAGACAATAAAGAAACAAACAGACTGTCAAATTACAATGGGGAGGGGAGGGATATATGGGGGAGATAAGAGATCAACTGAAGGACTTGTATGCATGCATATAAGCATAACCAATGGACAAAATACTATGGGAGGGAGGGCATGTATGGGAGTAGGGGGGGTGGGATTGGTAAGGTATGTACACATATAACACCTTAATAAAAAAAATGAAAAAAAATAATTATCCCATTTTCTATTTTATAGGAGAATAAGAAAATATAATAATAATGATACT